ATAGGTGATGCTTTAACATCTCCTGTTCTTTAAGTTAGAGGTATGTGGTTAGACCTGGGGGCTTGCAGAATGGCCTGCTGTGGGGTTTTCCCAATGCAGTGGTTTGTTCCTGGCTCACATCCTTTGATAGGTGTGTGCTGAGGATGTTCAGAGTGACTCCCTTTGGGATCCAGGGGCTGCTCGGGTAGCTACAATTTGTCTTACTCATAGAATCATAGTATGTTAAGGGGTTGGAAAGGACCTTGAAGATCATCTAGTCCCAACCCCCTGCCCTGGGCAGGGACACCTCCCACCAGAGCAGGTTGCTCAAGGCTTTAGCCAACCTGGCACTGAGCACTGCCAGGGTCGGGGCAGCCACAGCCTCCCTGGGCAACCTGGGACGGGACAGTGTCACCCTCACAGCAAAAACGTCTGCCTAATATCCAATCTAAAATTCCCCTCTTTCAGTTTATACCCATTACTCCTCGTCACCTCACAACTGAGGTTGTTAACAATGCTTCTGAGAGTGACTGCAGTACAGGGGAATGGCAGTTTCCCCCTGTTAAGTGTTGTGTGCTGCCTTTAGTGATGGAAACTGCCTTGTAGTCTGTGTCCCTGCCCCCTTTCCCATGTTCTCATGCCTAACAGACTGTCATTATTAGCTTTACTAAGAGCTCTATTAATTTTACAGTTTTTTTCTCTAAAAGATTTAAAACTTAAAAGCGGTATCAAGGTTGGAGCAATCCATTTGAGGGCAGAAATTGATAGTCTCAACTAACAGCACATGGCTTTTGCAGCAGAGGTTCTGGATAGATGATGGATTATTTAGGAGTTAGTAGGAAAGAGAGCAAATGCATCCTAATAGGAATTCTTGCTGTAGGGTGGAGCTGAATTTCACACCAACACTCTTCTCATTATTTTTAGCTCTTTGCAAGCAATACGTAAAACTAGTTTTTTCAGCAAGCTTTTCTGAGTATTTTGTATACCTCATAAAGGCTATTTCAAGAATTTCTGTGGCTACACAGTTGAGAGGTATCTTGGAAGGACCTTTCTACTTGAAATGCATTGCCTGTATCCAGTGTTGTCTTTAATCTCATGCGGTCTCGCAAAACCCATTCTACCTATTAAATATGCAGTAAAGCTGTTCTGTTTGGTAGGAAATTTTATGTTTAAACAGCAGAAGTCCTCATTGCTCCTGTATTTTAAGATTAAAAATTCAGCTGTAACACTACCTTCAGATTCAGAGCCATTAGAACGGATTTTTCAGATTTATTCTCCTGATTACAATACAGAAAATTAATTGCTTTTGACTGTAAAGAATTATGACTCATTCATTATTTAAGAACCTTCTTGATGGATGAACCTTTTCTACATCAAGATTTCTCATGAAATACGACTGGTTTTTTAACTGGTATAAAGCATACTGCACCTATGTAAACCAATGTCTGCACTCTCACCCTTTGGTGGGAAAGAAAACCAGCACCTCCTCTGTGTCTAGTTTGCTTGAGTATTCAACATACAAGCAGTAGAGACTGCTGGGAGAAAATGGGTAAGTTACTTCAGTGGCATTTGGTTTTATGAAAGAAGGATCGATTACTTCCTTTAAACATCCTGGTAGTAGAGAATACCCTTGAGTTTGGTGTGTCTGTGTATTGGAAGTGTTTGTGTCATACTGGGTAGAAGAGCTTGGATTTGACTCAGGGTATGCTCCCCTCTGGCCATGGTTCAGCTTCTAGCTCCTGGTTCTTATGCTTCCAGTTAAGAAGGTCTCAAATGATTTTTGTGTCTTTAACTCTTTGGTCCTGTCCTTGTAGCAGACATAGTCAGAAGAAGAAGTCACATTGTAGGTCTAGGTAATTAAAACCAGCTGAAGAGCTGAAATTGGGATTTGTTTACCTGTCAGCCCAGAAAGGTTTGCTCACTTCCTTAAGAAGCCGAACTGCTGTAGTTGTGCATCACAGAAATAAGCATAAAATTTCCTTAATGAGACAGTTGTAATTTTTTGGTTGCATAGAATTACTGAATGGTTTGGGTGGGAAGGGGCCTTTAAAGGCTCTCTAGTCCAGACCCCTGCAATAAGTAGGAACAGCTTCAACTAGGCCACCTTGCCCAAAGCCCCACTGAACCTGGCCTTCGTTTCTAGGGAAAGGCCATCCACCCCACCTCTGGGCAACCTGTGCCAGTGCCTCGCACCCTCACTGTAAAAAATTTACTCCAAAGTAAGACCTAGAGCATGTGGATCATGTTGTCAAATATGGCAGATAAAGCTTTAACTCATTGTAGTACAATTTTTTCCTAATGTCTTCATGGTAATGAAATTGTTGGTTAGCTAACAATGATTCTATAAGGCTTTATTCCTTAAGAGCAAATTACAGTCAATATTGCCATCAGGGTTTTGTGGTCGGTCCTGTCCCTTAGCCTAGACACTTGCCTGGACACTCACTCACCAGAGGAGACAGTCAGGATTTCCTAGCTGTGCTGGAGTTTTCAGTTTATCTGTGCAGTCCTCTCCAGTCAGATTCTTGAGTCTCATTTTTTTTGCAGGTGTTTTAACAGAGCCTGCATTTAAAAGTAAGTTTCCAGTGATGCTGACATTTCTCGTTCCTAATTGAACTTAAAGGTTTTGCATAATGTATTCAGAATACTGGCTTTTCTCTTAGGTGTCTTACCTGTGCTTGTGAGAACAACTGGTTTGGCAGGTGAGAGATGCTTTTTCTTGTAAAATTAGTCTCTGAGAATTTAAGAAAATAGATATATCATGTGCTGCTTTGAAGTATTTGAAGGATTTGAGAGGCAGTTTGCCAACTGACATTTAAAACCCTAGAGAACTTGTTACAGCCAAACCTTTTGAAAAAAAAAAATGCAGCTAAGGCTTAGTTACTAAAATGATTTTAGCTGGCAGTTCAGTGCATGTAATCATCCTGGAATGTTCTGAAACTTGTTCTTTTGTTCAGCTCTTGTATCAAGGCTTTTGGGTTGTGTCCGTGAACTCGCCGCTTCTCCAAATCAGAAATCCTGCCCACGCTCTTGAGGAGCCGTGGCTCTGAATGCTGTGTTCACTGTGGTAACCTGGAGAAAGAGCATTTCTTGCACAGGGAACGTATTTCTGACACTGTCTGGATGGCTGTGATTCAGAGCTGAACGGATGTCGTGCTAGTTTTGACATCTATAAACCATACAGACTGGTGGTCCTTGCTGAGTTGTTGGCAAGGTGGTCCTGTTGGGAATGCCACACTCCTGGCTGGCACCATCACCAAAAGGTGGTCGTGACTCAAGGGGAGCAGCCAGGGTTAGAGCCAGGGCTCAGCGGGTCGTGCCGGGGCTCACACCAGCACACTGCAGAGGCTGCTGCTGCTGCACTCTTCCTGATGCAGGTACTCGGGTTCAGTCTCAAGGGCCAGGAGTTTAGCTTTGCTTTGCTTTTCACTCTAATCTTGATTATTCAGACAGTTTTTGCTGGTCAGGAGACATCTTACTTGTGAAGAACCTGTACAGCCCACCTCACGAGAGAAGGTGCTGGATTTGGTGTGATTCTGGCAAGTGGCCCGGCCCAAACCTGCCTTGCTTGGGATAGTGGGTGTAGACTGGGCTTTGCATATTGTGAAATAGGGATCTTTTGACACCTCTGCTTGAAAAGGGAGGAAGAAAGAAGCAAATTCAGTTTTACAGTATACACAGTTTTAATAACAAAATGTTTCTGTACACTGCACTTGTTTTACTCCATCACTCACACCCCCTGCCACCAGAAGTTGGCTCTTTAAACATAATTGAAACACAGTGCATCTGGGACTCTCTGCAATCTCAGGTTGCTAAGCTGGTAGAATAGTTCACTTACTAGTGTTTTCATTTGTAAAACGAAAAATGGAGTAGGGTTTGTTTGGCTTTTAACAAAGGAGTGTTTGAAGGATGGCAGGGGTAGCTTCTCAGTGCTTACACAGAGGTGTACAACCTGCATGATGTTTTACCCCATCTAAGACTTGATTATACCCCTCAAAGCTTTTGTTACCTTTCCCTAGGTACCTCTCAAAAGGATTTTACACAGGAGGTGAAATGCTGAATTTCCAGCTCACTCTGAAATGATCTTTGAGCATCCTGCTAACATGGTGTCTTAAAAAGCAAAGCCCAGCACCATTTTTAGCATCTGGGACATTTTGCAGTGGAGGAGGGTGTGGGGAGGGACGACCTGCTGCCTTTGATTTTTTGTAGTTTCCTTGCTTGTTCCTTTTTTGGGGGAGGAGAATTACAGTATCCCACTCTGAACTTTTTAAATTTTTATGTAAAACTTCATAAGAAAGATGAAATTCAGCTTCTGGGTAAATTTCATATATGTCTGAACAGATGGATTTTGATAGCTACACAGATCACAAAATTAAATCAACTTTATTTTCATTAAATTAGTACAGAAATTAACTTAGACACATTAAAAATAAGTGTGTAGTGCAGATTTGTGTTTTAAAGCTACTGGATGCTTCTGATTTTACATGTAAGCAATAGGCCACTGTTGTCTAAGGGGGGAAATGGGACAGAAGCTTGGATTTGCACGCAGGCTGGTCGCTGAAAAATGGGATAATTTCTGCTTGGGAGAGAAGCAAACAAAACCAAACACTCTTAGAGAGGCATTCGTTATGTTCCCCTCTGATAGGGAATGGGAGCTCAGTGCAGAGGAACACTTCAGCCGGAGACTAAGCACGAACCCATTTTACCCTTCATCGAGTAATTTTTAGTTGTGTGCATTTAAACACTGATCTACTCAGAGCGACTAACTGAGAGCATTAATTCAGCTCTGGTCCAGGTTGATGACTCAAAAACTGGGCTTGTGCTGCTAAGTTTGAATTTCACTGACGCAAGGGTGGGCAGTAGAGGCGAGGCTAGAGGAGGTCTTTGGATTGGACCAGGACCTCAAGAGCAGTGCAAGAAATTTCATTTCTAAAAGGCCCTGAACACTTGAGGCTGTGCCTAGAGGTATTGAAGCACCTGTAATACCATTTAGTATCTGTAGAAACCAAAGCTGTGCAACAGAGATGGTGTTTGGGGAGAGCAAGTTAACAAGCTCTTGTCATCAGCCAGTGTTCGTACTGAAGTAAGAATAATTTAAACCAAATCATCATGGTTCTCATTCCATAAACAAAATAAATCAGAAGCTGCCGGGTAGCACAATTATTACAATCCTCTCCTTGCCTGGAAGAGTCACAAGCAATTGTGAATGGAAGACAGTAAGTTTAAAATAAAAAATATTAACAGCCTCTGGCCATGTCCTTGTGCAGAGCAATGGCTCTGCCTGCCGTTCGCTGTCCCTCCGAAGGGAATTCAACTTGACTTCACTGCTAGTGTTTGACATTCTGCAAGTTTTATGATATCTGTTACCCTAAATGTAATGTTTGCAAAATTGCTTTGCTTATGCCTGGAACCTGGCAACAAATGGTTTTGGAAATGGCAGACATAAACCACGGCATTTGGGAGATTGACTGCATATTAGTGTGGAGTACAGAGGGGCAGAGTGAAAGAGAGCGGTGCCGTGCTTGGCTGTGGCTACTGGCCTCCTGCTCTGCTGTCTGCAAGCCAAGCACTGCAGGACCAGTGGAAACTGGGAATGCTGGTGGGGGAGAGAAGCTGAGTGCCTGGGTTGGTTTGCTTGGAAAGGCACTGGAACAGGGCTTTAATGCTTGGAAAATTGGTATGAGTGGCTGGAATGGAAAAGAGGGTTAAATCCAGCACTGCTGGAACATTTGTCTTTGCTCTTCTTGAGTATAATTAAAAGCTAATTAAAGATGAAGTGTGTTTTTGCACAGAGCTGGTCTGTTAGGAAATCACCTCCTGGGGAGGGAACCTCAGCACTTCATCAAGTGGCCGCTTCTTGTCCCCATGTGGAAGACTGACGTGGTACCCTTTGACTGTCTTACAGCAAGGGTTTCTGCTGGGCCTGGAGGGGAGAGGTAGGATTCCTTCTTTCTAATGCAGCTGAGGACATCAGAGTTCAGTGTTGATATCTGATGGGGGATGACAGTCCAGCCAGATTATTTGGCTGCCAGGGGAATTAATGAACTCAGTGATAACTTTGTCTCTGCTGATACCCTACAGCTGTATATGGAAATCATCCCCAAAGTGTCTGCTGCCCACTTCCCCAGCACGGGCCCTTGTGTTAGCTAACCTGAGGTAGGGGAGGTGCACAGGCAGGGTAGGTCCCTGCTGACAGTGCTGCACGCTCACCTGCCCCGGGCAGAGCATCAGCCTGGACCTAAGGGAAGAGCTGTGTGTGCTTACTCATGACAAGGAATGAAACAAGTCCTTCTACAAGCAGCTAAATACCCTTGGATACCAGTACAGGTTTGTTTTTCTCAGCTTAGGTCTGGCCTTCTGGCTCATGTGGGATTTGGTCATACAAAGTATTTACTCTTTGTCCACCTAGCCCACAGGATTTTCTGTAGTCAGTTAAAAGTAATAATTAATTTTCTAGAGTAGGCATAAATCAACTCATCATAGTATTAACAGTTACGAGAGTTCAAAGGTATCTCTATGGAAAACCATTAGGCTTCACTGAATCTGTAGTTTAATAGAAGAGAGTCACAGGAAGTAACCAAAATACTGGTTTTATAATAAGGGCACTGTATGTAAAATGATGCAAATTAATATCTTCAAAACCAGTAATTGAAAAACCTTTATGTAAAATATTAACAGAAGTCACTTATCTTGCTATATTTGCCTTAGACAAATTCATCTCACAAGAAAACATCAGACTGTTGTATAATTGCACCCTAAATAGCTCACTAAGTGGTAATACAGATAGAGAAAAGCAGAGTGAAATATCAATCAGATTTTTATGCAGTGGTTTGTCTGTTTCAGCGGTTTTCAGGATAGTTCAGTACATCACAATTAGCATACTGTAATTATGGATTTGGTCAAGGTATGGTAACACTGAAGAATTTCATTTCTTCATTGGGGTGTGCTGGTAATTGTTTGACACTGCAGCATTGGACACAACACATTTGTAGTTATACATACATGTATACATATATATATATATAAAATAATTCTCCATTCCTCTGGACCTTTCCACTTTGGTCAGAATGTTTATAATATTTGAGTAGTTGACTTAAAAATAATGTAATCCTTTGCAGCCCCCCCCCCCCCCCCCCCGTGGCATCTGAGTGCCACCATCACTGCATAGATCTGCAAATATTTACATAAAATTTCATAATAAATAGCAATATGGTGCTTCTGGCTAAAGAAACCGAATTACTCCTTAGAATGAGGTGCATGTGTGTATTTATATATGATTTTTAAAAAGTCATACTACTTTTGATTCTGTTCCCTATCAAGTAAAAAACAAAGTGTTTTTCAGTGAACTATTCTATAAACTAATTATATTATCCTAACTTATCAGAAGGAGGTTTTTTTTATCTTGAATTTTGGAAGAGGAGGACAAGTGAGAGCTTATATTACAGGGGCTAATTCTGTCTCCAGAGAAACCAGTGGAGTTAGTGCAAGAAAATAGCTTCCAGTCGAGAGGAAGCCTCAGATAGAGGGACAAAGAGAGGCTTCTTCCTTCCTTCCTTCCTTTCTTCCTTTCTTCTCCTTAACCTTGTCGTTGATATTTGCTTTTAATTAAGAAACCTGGCATTAAGGGTATTTACACATGAAAAGGTGTTGAAATGCTGTTTGTTCATAGTCATTAAGTAATTAGCCTGAATTCATGAAAAGCATCATCAAGTCAAACCAGGGAGCTGAGAAGTATTGGATATACTTAATATTTAGGATTGATCCCATTGTACTAAGGCTCCCTAAAATAGCTATGCTGCCAATTTGGGAGCACTCAGAGGGTCGTCCTGATTGTGTGCCTGGTGTGTGTGCCCATCCTGCCCAGGGGTGTGTGTG